ATACTTTGGATCCACGCTTCCAAGATGTTAGGTGTGTCCTAGCCCATTCCCATTTCTAATAATGCACAACATCTTAGTATGTGGAAACATATTTTAAGACTGACTCAGAGTTGGTATGGCCCTTGATAGAGCAGAATCGCGAAACAGGATATGGATATGTGTAACCAACCCCGAATAGTTGGGATAAGGCTCGGATGATGATGACGATAAAGTTTAAAAAAAAAAGAAATCTCAAAGACGCTGTTTGTTTTTTAAGATACACTAGTAATAATAAGATGAACGCAAGTTCGTCATTGATATAATACACTTGAATATGCTTGAATAGGCCCAATACAAGCATATCACTTATTTGTGCTCCCAACAAAGTGCATATGAGGGGATCAGAGGCTGTCTAGGCAAATATATCCGCCCTGATAAACTTAAAATATAGCCTCAAAATTGGTGTTTTTGTTGATTTATACTGAAGTTATATTGCTTGCTGCTTTGTTTCTAACATGGCTATATCAAAAATCTCATAAATGTATCATCAGATCTCGCTTAAGCATCCCCTGCTAACATTCCTACAATACCGGCCATTGAAATGGGTTCACTAAATATATTTCACGTGCACCTGAGGATTCATTTTTTTGTTCACATTACCCAGGTCAGAATGTGTTAGCCTATTCAAAGTCAAGTACACATTCCCTTTTCCATACCATGGCTATTGCACAGTAGCTTTGGGTTGCTTCTTAAGGTTAATGAGTAGTTCCAAATTTATAAGAATAGGACATATTAGTTATGGGCTTGGGTTGCAACTATATGATCTAGCTGCACCAACAACTGCACTACTCCAATCAATGATAGCGCAGGAAAGATGAGGACATCCTTCTCATGTCCAGCACGTATTGCATATTATACAGTGGTTTTATAGGGAGATGTCTCTACATACCTTGAGTCCATTTATTGTAGAAAGGGATCCTCTCAATATGATAAGATTGGCCAATGGGGATAAACCATACCTATAGAGATGGCAGAACATTTTGAGGATATATTGCTCATAGCTAGCACATGTGATGCACCCTTTTGATGCACATTTAGGGAAGCAGACAGTGAAGATCTACAGGCCAAACAAGCAGTTTTAGAGAACAGAAGTGTAAGAAAATTTATGGCAGCTAGTTTGCCCTCTTTCTGCTTGGTTTTAATCATGTTTGATTTTCTGTTTCTTCTCTCCTCTCTGTCAATGATGATATGTCTCAGCTGTCTGTAGTTACGGTATAAGTAGAAGACATATATTCACAGCAATGAAAGACTATTAATTATAGTCAAACACTCATTCAAGAAAAAAAAAAAAAACTCTTAATTATCAATAAACAAAAAAATTTGTTATTTTCGTATCCAATTGCAGACATTATATCTCCACTGCATAAATGCAATGTCTAATGCGCTAGATTAGACTGTCCTAAATGTGATCCCATTAACTGTCTCTGATAAATAAATTGCTCATTTGTTCAAGTAGTTGAAGGGTCAAATGCAAAGCTATTTTTTCTATTTCCGCATCCAATTATCGCCAATTGCTGACAGTATATCTCCACACCATCCTCAAGGATCAAACCATAATTCACTCCATAAATGCAATGCTAAATTTGCTAGATTAGTCTGTTGTAAATGTGATCCATTAACTGTCTCTAATAAATAAATTTCAAGTAATTGAAGGGTCCAATGCAAAGCTTTTTTTCTTTAGTTTAGTGCATAAAAATCTTCTAGGACACGACATTAATGAAAGTGAACAGACCCAATTACCAAAAAAGGAGGTTGACAAACACAACTTATCCCCCTTCTTCCCATGCATTATGCTTTTTATAAAAGTCAACCAAAGAATTTGAAAAAGGAACCCATCAAAATTAGACCACACCCATTGTTGGAACAGATGTCCAACTCTATAAATCAGCTACAATAACCATAAATGATGCCATAAATATTAGAAGGCACTCACTTAATGCATGATAGGGGCAACTATTGCTCAAAAGGTGAAACCTAAGTTCTGGAATCATGATCTAATCCTAAGAGGTGTCAATGAAACTTGGAACAAAATCGCAGCCAATGAACGAAAATCCGGCCGCCTTGCCACCTAGGCAAGCTCAAGGTAGGCACCTAGGCGGTCTAGGCGCCCACCTAGTGCCATCCCTTAAAAAAAAAAAAATCAAATCAACCTAAACAAAAATAAAGCCTAGTATTGCCTCTCTCTCTCTCTCTCTCACTCTCTCTTTGTCTCTCTCTCTCTCTCTCTCTCAAACACACAAAGATACACATGGATCCATATGCTCCCTCTTTACATGTAAGAAGAAGAAATTGGCCTCCAAATGTTCAATGTGAGGTCCCTCTCTCTCTCTC